GTATTTGTTTGATAAGTAAAAAACCTCTCTATACACTCGCTATAAAAGAAATCGACAATGGAAATATTTAGCAAAAGTAACGAATGTCCGCGACTGAAAGGGATCAACGAAATTATACATCAGCTACTGGATATATACACTTTGTCGTTTCGGCAATTTTGGATTTCACATTCAAGTGGGAGGAATCAGAATCGAAATTTTCGAATGATACAAGACATAAAAACGTCATGTATGAATACTGCTGGATACGTGTGACACAAGTTGGAGAGTTTTCACTAACTATTGAAAACTGAATCCCAAATTCATTTCCCTTTTTTCTCTTTGGAATAATTATCGCATTATAGTGTTTGTTTCTTAGCTATGCAATGCATATGGTACAACTTTGACTCGTGACATATATATTGACTCGTACATATATTTCAGGGAACGAACAGTAAGTTTGGCCACACACTCCAACGTCTGTCCATAGCATTTTATGTGTATGATATCTTTACTTCTGAAAAAAAGAAGAAAAGCATTCGATTGCAACGAAATACGAATGGGCGCGAACTCATAAGATACAAAGTCTCCGACACGGCTTGCAATTTACGTATCTATTAATAAGGTACGCCTTTAATTATTATTTTCAGATGTTCTTTTTTCAAAATTTTTTCACACAGCTTCGATATGTCGTTTGATTTTTAAGGGGGAAAGAGGCGAAACTTTTAAGAGATAAGGAAAAACTTATAAGTATATATATGTATATATATATGTGAATTGTAGGTGCGTAGAGAGATTTTGCTTACTTGTTGATGAATTTGCAGGTGTAATGAATTTCCTGCTGTTTGTGTGTTCCATGTAATGTAAAAACTGATGATGATAGATAATAAGAAAAAAACCAAAAACAACTAAACAATATTCTTGCGTTCTGTTAATTTCTAAACATTGCCAATGCCGGCTCGCCCATCATGTTCATTTCTTTGGGTACGAAAGGTTTGAATTTCACATCATTGCTGGAGATGTGACGATGCTGATGGCATAAGCGTAAATTCAAAGTGATATCATCGTAGATTGCAATGGCAGGGCATTTCTCCTTATAGTAGTTGCTGCACTTCCAATATTGACGGGAGCCATGTTTTTTATTGCGGAAAAAGCGAAAACCATTAATAACTAAGAGTTTGCCTCCGTTCTTTTTCGAATCAATGAAATCGATTTGAAAACCTATAAAAATGAAGAAAAGCGAAACAATTAATGAAAGTATAATAAATTGATATATATATATATGTTCTTGTGAGGCTAACTCATTGAAAAAATGAAAAATCATTTTCAATTGAATAAAATTATTAATTTAATGTTAATTTAAGTATTTATTTTGCCTTTTTTTTTTTAATTGATTAACTTTTTTTTTTTCTTTTTTTTTTTTTCTTTTTCATTTGCAAACAAGTTACGATTTCAAGATCTTGGGATAACCTATCCAGTCTTCGGATAATAGAGGATGATTGTGTACGCCTTTTATAACACATTTGGATGGTACTTCTAGTGAGGTAATAGCTCGTGCCTTACAATTTTTATGCCATTTTGTGCATTTCCAATAAATATTTGAACCGTAAATATTGTTCTTAATGAAACGTTGTCCTTCAAAGAATAACAGTTTATTGCCGCGATTCGTGTTAACGTACTTAATGTTTCCCCAATCGTCTAAAGTCCGGGATTCCAAAAAGGATGGCTTCCGTTTGGAAAGTCCACTTTTAACTGTACTCTTACGTATACCATTAAAGCCGACGGCATCCAAAAATGTTTCATTGGCGTCCTCCACTTCGAGCTTAATACCAGCAACGCTGTATTCGAAAGTTCGTATCGATATGTCTGCAAAATGGAAGAAAAACGAATTATATATTAATAGAAATGAATTCAACTTAATATCATTATATCATTAAATCATTATAACAATTCATCTAAGGCCAAAATTAAAGTACATTTTTGGAAAAACAGACTTTGACTAATTGCTTTATTTTTCTAATGTAACTAAAATTTCGGTGGTTTAATGTCTTTATTGAAGGAGAAGATTTTGGAGATAAAAAGGTTGCCCTTATCCATATAAGATCTACGATCTGGATATTTTCGGGTGTGATTATGCTCGAAGGTACGTTGCAGGACACGCTCGATACCATATCTATCCCTTGCTGTTACAATTCGAGCTCTACACAATGTCACATCCTATAAGTGTAAAACAGTAACAAAAAATCGATTAAACCTTAATTGGCTTATTTGTACCATGTTGCAGATGAATACACACCTTTCTGGAGCAAATCCAATAAGTACGAGTGCTTGATTTGCGATTTTTTACAAATTTCTCATTGCCATATAATAGTACCGTGCAACCACGTTGCCCCGTTGTCAGGCAAGCAATCTCTGCAAAATTTATTCGCCGAAAATGTAGATTAGTTCTATGACTGGCTTTCAGCAATAATAATGAAATGGTTACGTTAAGCAGTGTACAGTATTTTTGAAATAAAAACTTTTTAAAAAAATTATTTTTTTAACTTTAATTTATTTATACCTATAGATCTAATTAATGTAATCAAATAAAATTATTGGATTTAAATTTTCTCTGTTAGATTTTCCTTTACCGTAAAGTATTTTAACTGAAATTACTTTCTTGCAATTTTTTCGATATTGAGATGCATGGCTTGCGATCTTCTGCATTGAGCATAGCCTCCACTATAAAAGCAGCTGTTGGTTTGCGTTTTTTTCTAGCAACATTTTGCTGATGGTTGTGTTGGCAAGATTCCAAGACAATTTTCGTAACACCATCCAATACATCTGTTACAAGACGTGCATTACATTTCGTACTGCCCTGTCAATGATATACATGTACATATATATATATATATACATAAAAAAATGAAATGTGATGAACATAAAATATATATATATATATATATATATAAGAATTATAAAGTCAAATAATTAAGGTCGCTTGAAGTTTAAGGTTACGTCCTACAGTGCATCTTCAATGCAATCCATGGCTATAATCGAATAGGTAGTAATATATGGAATTAACAGAAACAATCTTTCATCAATAGAAAGTAGAGTGAAACGTTTCTCTTTTTCTCTTAATTCCGTAACAATAATGTCAATGATCAGATGTAATTTTGACTCTGGCAAAAAAGTGAATTCATTCTTAAGTAAAGCCGTTACTTTTTGCTGATGTACAAAAGCATAAATATGTTCATAGTATTTGTAATCGCCGCTTGGTACTCCGCATAATGATCAGGCGAACAGAAGACAAAGAGAAATCAAGCGAAGGTAAACCAGTAAACTTGGTTTTGTTGGTCAACTTGGATATGTATACATATATATACATATATTATATATATATATTATATATATATATTATATATTATAGAAAGCAAGAGCAAAGGAACCTTGCAATTTTATAAAAGATAATTCCTAATAATAATAATCGAACTTATTTAGAAGATTGATTTTAGACTCACCTTTTTAGCGCAAATCCAATATGTTTTCAAGCCACTTTTTCTATTTTTGACGTAGTTGAAGCCGTTATAGGTAAGTAATGTGCAGCCGCGTTGACCCGAAGTAAAAGTGAAGACACCGTGTTCGCTGTTAAGCCAAAATTTTACGTCTGTAAGTGTTGTAAAATATTGACAATATTATTAAAAAAAAACAAAATCTACAACGACATATATTATCAGTTAGAACCATTTACGATAGTAAAAACACCTTATATATAAACATACATAGTTCTTTCGTAAGAGTCAAAAATTTTATTTAAATAAACTAAAAATGATTATCTGTGATTTAAATCAATAAAAAAAAAAAAAAAAAAAAAAGAAAGAATATGAATCGACGCAATTTAATATTTAATATTCTTTTTAGTGGTGTTACTGTAATGTTGTTATGTTGTAAAAGAATGTTTTGTTCTATTTTTTTTTCTTTTTCCTTTTCTGTCATTTAAAATGGCGGATGATTGTGTTTGCCACACTTTAAAACAACGTCATGATGAAAGTCTTCATCGATGGTTACTGCGCGAGCCTTGCACTTGTGTATGCCGGCGCGAGCACAGGACCAATAGGTTTTATTACCGGAAGCCTTATTGCGGGTGAATGTGTAATCGCCCACTTTCAATTTGCGGCTACCACGAAAGCCTGTTATATAGGTTATCAGAAAATTTCCGACTGCCAGCGACATGAGCATAATATGAAAAAAATAAATAAATTGAGAACAAACATTGGGTTATTATATATAAATCTTAAAATGAATTACAAATCTAAAAGTTAACTCTAGCCCTAGGAAAAAAGTTCTTCGAAACTTAATACAATCAAATATTTTTTATTAGAGACTTTTGGAAAAAAAAAAAATCTTTTATATGCGGTCATCATATCACTGTCATAAACGAGTAGCTTTCATTTAAACAAAGATTAAACATATCAAAGTACCTAAAAAAATTTCAGTAACATGTTGTACCATAGAAAGTAATTTATTTTTCTTCTTCGCCTTCTCGTTTTTACTCTTGAGAAGCGCTCGTGGGAGCGACTTCGCTTGTCTCAGTTTTTATAGTCTGTTGCGCGGCTTCCATTTTCATGTTTTTCAAGGAACCGTATTTGCGAGCTTTCGTTATGACCTCATGATTGTGCTCACAATTCAAAATTGTTAAAATGTTCCCTTTGGTCTTAATGCGCGCCCGACATCTCAGCACCGCAAATTGACTGCATCGCCAATACGTTACGTCCTGGTATTAAATAATTTTTTATATTTAATTAAATTAAATATAATATGTCATTATGTAAATAAATTACCTCTCGACTGACGTGACGATTGAATGTGTGCTGCTTTAATACCAATTGTTTGGTGCCGTATTTGCTGACGACAAAAATGGGCCCTTGTGAATCGCTAGAGCTCAAAGCGGCCGTTCTAGTAACAGGTTTTATCGGACTTTTCGCTATTAGCGTCTGGGCGTCGTTGATCAGTAGTTCGTCGTAGTAAGTTTTAACTAAAATGAAAAGTAATAAGAAAATATAGAAGAAAGCGAGAATGGAAGGAAAAAAATCGATTAGTAAAAAAATTGGATTCTAATATGCTTAATAGTTTTAAAGTATTGACAGTGACAAATAAAAACCAATTAAGATAAACATGACAGTAGTTTTTATTAAGGTACTCTTCTTAAGGTGCTCTTATGTGGATGATTGTGTTTACAAGTGATTTTCTATTATTAAAATTATTTTATTCGAATTTTTCTCTTCGCAGTCGAGCCACAGTCGTCGTTATGGATTTTAAATTTCTTTAATGAACCGCCTTTTAAGTCACACAACACTACGTAAGCGGGACAATTCGGTGTTACACAGTACCAATAACTACGATAAGGTGTTGCGCGCAATTTCCTGTATTTTGCACCATCTAAGCACATATATTCCAGATTGGATGATTGCAAGAAGTTCGTCACTGAAAATTTTTGTAAAAATACATAAATTGAAATACAAGAGAGACATGCGATAAAATTAAATATAAAACTAATTAATAGGCTTTTCAAAAATCGTACATTTGAAGAATTCAATCATAATCACATGACGGTTGGCTGGCCATTTCTTCAAAACGTTCATTTTCATAAAGTTCGGCCCGGATTACTACCAGTCGCTTTAGCAGGAATCTTGCTTCTTTAGTCGGCTCTCGATTGTTCCGCTGCAAAGGGTTTTTAAGGGCATGTCGTTAAAGAGCGTTTCTCGACCACACACCACCACAGTTTAACTTCAAAGTTAAGCTTGATACATCATTTATTAATCAAACATTGTTCGTGTGATGCATTTCGAAGGGAAAATTAGAAACTAAACTGTTTTATTTTTAATTTGTTGCAATCTACTTAACTCTATTTATTTATCTAACACAATTTTCTCTACTGAAACTAAATAAATCTTAAATTCAATTTTCTTTTTCTTTGGAACAATTATTCTATTATGAATTTCGACAATAATTTAGTTAAAATATTTCAATTATTTTACAATTATTATAAAGAGTAAAGTTTTAATTGAAATTTGATGAAATTTATTTTATGAGAACAAAATTTATATGTGTACATAAAAACTAATAATTTTATATATATTAATTGAGGCGATAGTTAATTCAATTTAATTTCTTACAAATTAATTGCGAAGAGTATCGAAGAAGTCTTTCTTTCCAAATTTTAGAAACGTATCGGTAATAAGCCTTCGGCTTTTAGAAGATTAGCTGGCAAAGAATTTTGGGTAAACTTTGGTGGATGATTATGAGGATTTTTACCCAGCTTTAAAGATCCTTCCATTTTTGTTATACAACGTGCTGTGCATTTATTGTCGGATGCTCGTTTACCATTTCCATTCGAACAAATCCAGTTCACTGTCGAGCGAAAACTAGCCTCTTTTTTATACATATAACCGTGAAATATAAGGTTGTAGCCTTGTTTCTGATTGAGCATAAAATACAGAGTTGGATTTTCCAACCAAACACCAATCGGAAACGGTAAGCTATAAGCTTCGGGTTTTTTAAGCAATTCTCTATAGTCTGCAAGCAAAAAATTGCAAACAAAAAAAATTAAATAAAAGAAAATCAACATCAGACAACTGTAGCAAAGTAGAAGACGATTACTTATAAAAAAGTTGTAAAGACGCCCACTTTTAGCAGAAATCAGTGCATTTTTATTATTATTATTATTATTTTTATTTATTTTTATTTTTTTCAGCTATACTAAAAATCTTGTTGATTTTGTTGTTCTTGGTATTGGTGTTGCAAAGCTCGTATAGCTTTACGTCCTTGCTCTATTCTGCGAGAGTCATCTTTGTGACTGTGAATGCCGATTACTTGCACATAATTATCACTAAAGTACAATAAATGAGCTTTGCACTTTCCTTGAGTGAAATGTACACAACGCCACGAACGAAGACGATTCCTACAATACAAATAGTTTCTATAAGCCATTAGCGGATACCCACGTTGACTGTAAATGAATTCTACATTTGATGCTAAAATGAGAAAAATATAAAAAACAGGAGAACTAAGAAAAAGCCATCAATTAACTGCCAACTCTCGCCCTTCGACCAAAAAAAAAAAAAAAAAAAAAAAAAATGGTGAACCAGATTAAAGCTAATGTTTCTTAAGTAAAATTTTAATACAGAAATTATCACAAAATTTCAGTACAGATATTTTTTAATAAATAAATATACATTTATTTTTTTACTTTTTATTCTCAAATTTTTCGTTATATTTCCACATAAACATTTTCTGTAAGGGATGTAAAGATTGGCCCATTTTTATATATTCTTTTAGTGTTTTACTCTCGTCTTCATGATTATGATTGCGAAAAACTCTTACTTGATTCGCATCAATTATCAAACTGGCTCTGCATTTATGTTGGGAAAACCGTAAACAACGCCAATATTTTTCCCGATTTTTGCGATATAAATAATTATTTAGCACAATTTCTGGACGTCCACGCCGACTATAGATGTACTTCATATTAGTAAAAGCTGCAATGTAAGAGTCAAAGTAAATAATACAGACATCTGTCAAACTTATTCAAAATGTTTTATTGAACAGAAAAAGTTAAGTGTTTAATTTTTTGTAGTGTAAATTTATTGAATTCCAATGTTCATGTTACACTTTCTTCTAAATATATGTCAAAGAATACACAAAGTGTTTCATTTCCCTTCTACAGCTATTTGCTGGTATGTTCCGTGACTGGAGACGTTAAAAGCAAATATCGTTGCAGGGTTTCAGGTTAAAGTTTGTATAAACACAATTAATACGTTGTCAGTCACTTTTCGATGGTACTGAGTTATACTTTTCCCAAATTTAAGATCCATTCTTGCTGCAGAAACAATAAAATTATGTCTTTTCAGCCATTTTAGACGCATCCGGCCCATTTCCTATTAAAACGGTAAACGGAACTCCATCGCTTATATACGATAAGTATCCTGTTTCTATTGTATATTTATTTGTTAGCACTCTAAGTAGCGATACAACAAGCGAGTTCCGCTAAATATTTTCAAAACCTCCCGCTGATCAAGAATATATATGTAGCTTGCCGAAGATTACGTTTTTCTTGTTGCTATAAAGGCAATGAGAAAGTTAGTATACGCCTACATATATTATTTGGCTTAGCACTTAGCGTGTATACGTTAGGCAAGAAGCGAAATCTTGGACTGCGTTATCATGTTTTTGTTTGAATTCCGAAAATCAGTTTGATCAGTGTATTCATTAAGTTTCAAATAAGAAATTCAGCAAGTAGACAACAACGGTCACACACTATTGTAACGTGTAGCCCTGCTTGTACAACTCATATGCCAGCGAAGTTAACCTTTACTCGAACTGAGATTAAAAAAAACATTTCCATCAAAGATGATTTTATAAAGAATTAAATTCTTTAAAATCAAATCCTCTAGCATTCTCTAAAAGGAACCTATAAATAAGGATAGCTTACGTGCTTCTGATCGAAGCTTTCGACGATTGAATAGAGAATTTAAAAGTTCTTGGCGCCTGTAAAAACATTTAAACAACACAAAGCTCGTTTCAAAAACCATTAAACTTCGTCAAAAGCTGCAGCTGACATTTCGTTAAATCAGAATGTGACTTTGAACTTACTGAATACATCAGAAGTAATTTCATGCGATCTTTTCATAACCAAAAACGCCAGAAACCAAAAAGAATAAATATTTTATTAATCAGCGTAAGTCGATTTTATTACGATCTCTTAAAGCTATCTAATTTACGATAAAATGATCCCAATTAAGCTTACTATGGTAAATAGTGGCGTGAAAGTGAAAATTTTCACTTAAATTCCTTTCTTCCACTTGCATTTATTATCTTTTTTCTTTACGATTTTTTGCATTTTCTTTTTTTTACTACACTTTTCAATTCTTCCTTGGTCTTAGTTGCGTGCAACGCTTGCTGTAAAGGTTGACCTATTTTTCGATATTGGGATATCTTTCTTAGATCTTCAACGTGGTTATGTTTGCCCATGACTTTAACTTCAGTCGCATCAACCACTAGGCTGGCTTTACAGCCATATTTATAAGATACTAAGCATCGCCAGTATTTGCCACGGTTTTTACGATATAAATAATTGTTTAGTACAATCAAGGGATGTCCACGTTGACTGTAGATATACTTTAGGATGCTGCCGCCTGCGTGGAAAAGAAAAAAAATGCAACAAAACTTGGTTTATATATAAAGAGAATGCGAAAATCATTTCGTTGCATCATCAGAAGAATCAAATAAGACAACCAGAGTTCAAATTTCGTAATAGCTTTATTCAGTTTTCAATATATATACACATGTAATTGCGGTTTGGACTTTTCAACCCTTACGTCTTTCCTTCAAGTCGAAACTAGTGGGATCGATTTTTGTTTTTACGCACTTACTGCAATCCGCTTAAAGAAAAGGCGCTTCTTTAAACAATCAAAACGAGAATGTCGACAAAATATATTAATTTTATAATTTATAAACATTAATTTTTATAAAAACTTTTTTGGGAAAAATTTCATTCCTGCAAATTCATTGTAATCAAGCTTTCGAAAAAATTCCAAATGAAAGTAGATTAATGATAACATTTCTATTTCATCAAATCAAAGCGCAGACCATTCCAAGTGATGTAGGAAAGTGTCTACAGTTCTTAATAAAGAGTAATTTGACATTCTATGAACATCAATCAGTTTCTTTTTGCCAATGCTATAAAATGCCCATCAAACACTCTCTTCAATGATTTTCGAAATATCCAGGAATTCATTCCGTTTGAAATGAAAAAATATAGCATAGAATATAACATATATAATAATTTAATTCTCAAATCTGTAAACCCAGATAAACTTATTTAAAAAAAGACAAAGTTTACAAAAATGTTGACCATACATCATGGTTTTTAAACAATTTTTTCTTACAGGGATTAATATGTTGCCGCTTGCAGAATTTTTTATTCATCGACAATATGCGTCCTTCGTCGTATATATGAAGAGTGTTTCGTTTCAACCCGTAGTAAAGACCGCAGTAGCAACATTTCCACTGCACATGTAGTAGACAGTGAACTCATATTATGTATAACGTAGATTTAAAGAAGTTACTGGGAGCAATTTAGAAGTGCATTGTGAAAAGGCATTTGAAAATTTTATATTTAATCGAGATTTTATTAACTGCTTTTAAAACACCGGATGAAAAGCTTCTCAAATCCTTAATTCTTGTGACATTTCTTAAACAATAACATCTTTTGCTAAAAATGTCTAGCTACTATACAAGAAAGACCTCAAGAGGAAAGTTTGTCCATAAAAATCGACATTTTTACGAGGGTGTGATGAAATGGAAACAATAATGGATATTAAAATAAAAAAAAAATTTTCAAACATGTGATTTCTATTCATTTTCTAACGCTTATGATATTTTATGTTCATCGAGACTATGAGCTAACTTCTTGCAGCGATATACACAAAATGTTTCAAGGTGGAGTTCCGTAAAAATTATGTTGGTTGTAGGAGAGAGTTTTGTCTTTTAAGAAGAATGATCGCAATTTAGATAAAGCGGCCTTGGAATGCAAAACTTCGATAACAGCGTAGTAACGATTTATAGCTAAAGCAAAGATGCGAAATTTATTGCGTCGCGTCCGGTCCTTGAATTCAATTTAGGAATGAATTCCCAATGTGCGATTATTTTTGGGTGAATGCTTTTCAACCTATGCATATAATAGAGAAGAAAACAATTGCCGCGAGGTTATTATTAATCATCAACAAACTTCCAAGCAGTACAATTGATGCCAGATGTAGCTGCATGAGCAGTTTACTAATAGCAACAAATGTATGTGGACACACTTTCGGTAGTCGTTTTTTCCCTCCTTTAATATTTTTAAAGATTAGAGCCTTTCTTGTGTTTCGAGATCTAAAGAGAAAACAGCAATCATCCAAAATCTTTGATATTTGTAGCGAAGATTTCGTGACGTGCACGGGCACGCACCCCTTGAGCAAGAAGAATCATCAGCGATTCAAATTTATAATTCGTGCATTTCCAAAAAATGACTTACCTGAAATCTCCAAATTCTTAAATATTCAAACTTAAACAACGCTTTCAATTCCAAATTGTAAGAGTCTGGGCAATTTCATGTGTAGCAATAGCACATATCAAAAACATTTACACAAACACAATAATTATCATTCATGACAACAAGTTATGCCATGAAATCCCCACACGATATATAAAATTATAATTTATTAAAAGAGAACACTAAATATCTTTCAAATATTAAACTCTTAACATTACATTTTCTGGGGTCATTTACATTATAATCTTTTTATTTGCACATTTTTAATATAAAGTTGACACTTTTCTCCGATTTACAAATACCTGCAACTGCAAGTACAGCTACTTAGAAAAGACAAATTTTATAGAAATTTGTGTATTTTGTTTTCCGTTTGACACTTTTCAACTATCGGCGATTATGCAAATTCAACTAAATTGATTATCATATAACAAATTTTTAAAGTTTTTCACCAAATTCACAGAAATTATAAAGAAAACTTTTTCCAAATAGCGAAAATATTCACGGCGAAAAACACGAAACGTAATCGGTATGAGTGCAATAGATGAGATGAAGAAAATGGCGCTAATTGACAACAGGGTTGTAAAAGACAGTACTTAAAATTTCATCATTTTAATACGGCTGTGAAAATATATTAGTGCACAGCAATTCCGTGAAAATTTGTAAATGCAAATTACTATTTTATAATAAAATCAAGACTTTTCATTTACAAGTTGCTAAAATATACACTCACAAGTAAAATAGAAAAATATTATATTTCGTGAAAATAACTTTATCTAATTTAAACGTTTTTTACAACCATTTTTATTCTCTTCCTTTTTCCACTGCTTACCCCAGCGTTTGTGTACAGATGTGACTTAAGGAAAATTGTGTTGACGCAAGTTGCTTTTACATTGAATAAAGAAATATTTTGGCAAATTGGGTGCAAGCCATAACCTCTCGGACATCAAAAAGATTGAAAATAAAATAAAGAAACACTTAAAAATACATTTATTGTTTGTTGTTTTATTTAGTTTTTTTTTCATGACAACTTTTTACCTCTTATATGCATTTTTTACAGAATTTTCTTCTTTTTTTTCAACTCTTAGAAACTGGACAAGTGCGGCAACCACTAATACGGAAGCGGGGAAGGCCTCGTAAGACTGATTTAAATTCGCAGCAACCTAAAATGAAAGATAAAATTGAAGAATGTGTCAATAATCATCCTGGCGAGCCCGCTGTTTATGCTTCCACTACGAAGGGAACCGTCAAATTAATATATGAAGGACACCACTTTCGGTATTCGTTCCGCAAGGGCAAATATTCAATATTTCAATGCTGTTATAAGGAGAACAAAGAGGATTGTAAAGTACGCGTAGTTACTGATCATAAGCGTGTCTACCCTCTGGATGGCGAACATGTGCACTTCGTACAAGCTACTGATAAAAGTGTTACGGCTGTCAAATTCTCAACAGGTGAAGAAAATCTTCAGGGAATGAATGTTATAACAATGGCTTCAGCACCCGAAGTTGAAGAAATTTCAGAACCCGATTCACAACATATTGTAAGTTTAGATGAACAATTTCCCGAATTTGCCCATTCGGCAGGAGACTTAAATGCGGACGTAAAATTGGAAACTGCACGCTCGGAAACTCCAACGGAATACAGCAACATATCGAAAGTGGAAGTTGCACCTACAGCGGCGGAGATAAAAACGACATCTGGCGAAGAAGCCAATGATTTTCGTGAAAAGATTAAAAAACGTCTCCAAAAAGCTTTATTAGGCAAAAAAAAATGAATTATTTTTATACTTTTATCATTTATAGAAACTTATACTGAATTTCAATAATGGTTTTTAAGCAAATTCGCATTTACTTGGCAATAAAAATATGTAATCGAACATTTTCTTTAGACTTAGAACTTAGCCATACCGGAAAAAACTACAAACATACAATGAACACTATTATTTTAGTGTGTACAAATTAAATATTAAAATTCTTTTTCAGTCATGCAGCATGTACGCGACTGCGGGGCGCAATTGTTTATCATAAGTCGAAAAGGTGGAACTTTATTGGCTATAAATGATTTCATATATCGTTCCAATTTAAAACGATTCGGTCCTTTAGGTGACAAAGTCTATTGGGAGTGCATACACAACCGTTCCAAGAAATGTCGCAGTCGTCTCAAAACAATTGGTGATGATTTATACGTAACAAACGGTAATTATGTATATATTGTCATGAAACTCTTGAATTTTTTCTTTTCCTCGCCGCCGAGGATTCAAAAATTTTTCTTTAGACAAAGAAAAAAATAAATAAAATAAAAATAAAATAAAATGAATGAAATAATAAAAAAAACAAACTAAATGAACGAAAAGGTCTGGTCAGTTTCCGGCTGTGCGTCTGTCGCCAGTGGGTCAGTCGGTCATCGTCTAGCGTCGGCCCTACATGGCCACCATGTGCACGCCCCTACACCTCAGCCACAGCGGTGGCAGCGCACGCTTAGCCACACATGGGTAACAACAAAATCGGATAACTTAAAGGAAAAGATAACATAACTTACAGTACAAGCAAGGTGGTAGTGTTCGTTTCTTGGTGAGTATCACTGCTTTCACTGTCGGCTGCAGCTATCCCAGTGCTCCCGATAAGTTGTTGCTGTTGTTGTTGCTTCTGCCTTCAATTTTATTACCTCCCTCTGATTCGTTGCTGGGGGTGTAACAAGGTGATGGTGACTGCTTCACTGGAAGCGGCGATAAATCCTCAGGACTTTGTTGTAATAAACCAATTAAAAGCCCTTTTTTGTTTTTCGCATTCAGGCATATATTTATTATTCCTCTTTTTTTTTTTTCAAATATCTTATGCTGCTTCACTGGCTTATTAACTATAAATTTTGTTGTTAACATTAATAAATGGAGTCTAATTATATGTGTAAATGTTCATTGTGTGTCAAGGGTTTTTTTTTTTTTTTCCCTTTTTTTTTTTATATATATTCCCAGCATCACATGGGTTTACGTGTATTATTTGCACAGGCTCTCGCGATAAGCATCCCTAATTAACTTTATATGCGACGGCTGTACCCGTTCTATATGAAAAAAATAACGTTCTACATATGCTGTTCTTTGCTTTTCGATAATTTTCTTCCACAATAAGCGCGAACTGAGGCAAAAATGAATCATTTAGTTATTTTAATTAAATCGAAGAAT